GAGGTGGCTCCAGGAGCAGTAAGTTGTGAGCAGGGAGTGGGGAGGCTTAGCTCAGAGGTGGAGGGAAGGAGAGGGGACTTTCTTTGTAGTGATGTGCACTTCACTTGAGCACAGAAGCCAAGCTCCTCAGAGAGGGCTCTAGGTGTAGGAGTGGCATATAAATGTGTCCCCGTGCGCATCCTCTGCTCTGAATAGCACTGTTGACTGGCGTTTTCTATCACGTGCCCAGGGTTAGCCCCTTCTCACAACCCGCGCCACTGCCGCCTGGGGCAGACCTCCGTCACCCCTCCTGGTGGCTCCCTTCTGGGCCCACCCTTGTTTCCTTGTTCCTCGCTCTCCGTGTAGCGGCTCCCCTGGGGGTCTGGTTCATGGCCTGCGGTGCTCACATGCCTTGCACTTAGAGGAAAAGCCAAAACCCATGCTGTGGCGTCCGGCCCTGCTTTCCTGGCTGCCCACGCCTACCCTCCTTGCAGCGTGGTCACCCCACTCACATCCCCGTGGCCCCCCCCCGGCCGCTGTCTCTCTGCCGCCCTGCAGACCAGAGCGCACACTGCCTCTTCCTCCACCTGAGCTGCTTGCGCTCAGATGTCAGCCCATGTCTTCCTCTGTCTGGAGCAGCCGTAACACACCGCCACAGACCCGGTGGCTTAAACACAGATTTCTCTCTCACAGCTCCAGGGACCGGAAGTCCAGGGTCAGGGTGCCAGCTGCTGGGTCTGGTGAGGGCTGGTCCTTGGGTTGCAGACAGCCGCCTTCTCTCCATCCTCACATGGTCTCTCCTCCACGCAGGCAGGTGAAGACAGAGGAGAGGCGAGCTTTCTTAGTGTGTGTGTCTGTTTATTGTCTGTCCCCCATCCCTACACTAAGATGCAAGGAAGGAGTATCGAAAAAATGAAAGCTGTTGGACTTGTCGGGTTGCTAACAATGCATAACAGGTTCACAGAACAGGGTTTGGCAGAGTAAGCCTTGGATAAATACTGGATGGATAGATGCATGGGAGATTTGTTCACTTTCTTAAAGTGAAAGTGAAAGTGAAAGTGAAGTCGTGTCTGACTCTTTGCTACCCCATGAACTATACCTACCATGTTCCTCCGTCCCTTCTTAGGCCAGAGTTTAACTGTAAATTAAATTTTATTTGGATCTCCCGGGTATGCATGTGGTACCAAACAGAACAGGGAATATATTATAGCCTCATTCTCATCATTCTAGGCAAAAAATACATAATTATGTTGAGAAATGCACTACTGAAGCTCAACATTTCAGGGGAAAGTTGCCCTTCTCGAGAAACAGGAACAATTTTGCTCAAATTTTTGATAATTCACTTCCTGCAAGTTAAGATGAGGAAGTCTGAATTTTGGATGCCAAATCAGATGCTCAGGTTAGATGATCACTGTTAATCTGCATTCTGACTCAAAAACCAGATCTATGTTCTGGTTATTGTTAAATACCTGTGGAAGGGTTAAATATGCACATACATCAGTACTGGAGAGGAAGATGGAAAAATGAAAACTTATGTTCTTTTGGACTAGAAAGGTTGTTCATGTGTTTTTCCACTTTGTTTCCTATGATTATTGTAGCAGTATTGTTTGTGTTGTTTAAAAAATTACTTTTGAAAATAAAATTTGGGATTTAGTAAGGACAGTCTGCTTTTCTGAGGGTGAAATGACACTGCTTTTTAAATGTAAGAATGTTGCCTGAAAGACAGTGTGATGCATCTGTACTTAAAAAATGGCATCAGTGGTCCAGAATCACTTCACTTAAGTAGACTCTGCTATCAACACCTGTTTGGTTCTATTATTGTGCATTCTTCCATCTAATAATATATCCTGAATTGGTTTTCTCTGCAAAATCTTTTCTTAGCCCAGTGAGCATGAAGGAGCAGAGCCTTTGTCCTTTCTCTGAACTGTCCTGACCTTGATTCATTTTCCCGCTTGCTGAGCCGTCTCAGCATCCTTCTTTCCCATGCCCTGTGTGACCATAGAAGGTACCCTGTGTTTGAAGTTTCCAAGATATCTCATCTCCAACTTCTTTCCTGGGCTGTCCCTCCTGCATCCTTGGGAGCTGTTCATCCACCCTCCTCACTTTCTGGTGAAACAGGCCATTCTGTCATGAAGCAATGCAAATGGTTAGAAATTCTGAAGTTTTGTTTGTTTGTTTGCTTGACATAATTTTGTCTTTGTGAAATTTCCTTTTGTTTGCAACTCTGCCTTCTGGAGCTCTACAGAAGTCTTCTGTGTCTCGCATGTGATAATTCAAGTAGAGGCTCTAAGTATTTGATTTTTGAGGTTGAACTCTTCCTTAGCCTTACTTCACATGACATGTTTTGCAGTGTCTCTGTCTTCGGTCCTCTTTACGGACATTCTCTGTCCATCATTGTCTTTAACGATATTCCGCCCAGACTTGGACACCATACTGTGAGTGTATTTGGGCCAGGGAAAGGTCTACTGGAACATCGCTGCAACATTCATTCAGTTGCATTTTTGCAAGTAAACTAGTTATGCTCCTGGCCACTCAAGAAACTGATGCAGAAAAAATTGGTGCAAAGTAAGGAAGCACAAGCTGGAATCAAGATTGCCAGGAGAAATATCAATAACCTCAGATTTGCAGATGACACCACCCTTATGGCAGAAAGTGAAGAAGAACTAAAAAGCCTCTTGATGAAAGTGAAAGAGGAGACTGAAAAAGTTGGCTTAAAGCTCAACATTCAGAAAACTAAGATCATGGCATCTGGTCCCATCACTTCATGGCAAATAGATGGGGAAACAGTGGAAACAGTGGCTGACTTTATTTTTCTGGGCTCCAAAATCACTGCAGATGGTGATTGCAGCCATGAAATTAAAAGATGCTTACTCTTTGGAAGGAAAGTTATGACCAACCTAGACAGCATATTAAATAAAAGCAGAGACATTACTTTGCCAACAAAGGTCCGTTTCTTATTAGAAACAGGATTTAAATGATATCCATTGTTTGAGCTGATGAAGACAATTCCACTAATTTAAGTATTCTCTGTCTTGAGAAAGATTGATCTTGAGTGTGAAATTGTTCTAGTTTTGGATGTTGACTCTGAATTTAATCTGAACGATATTTGAGAAATGTCCACTTTGGGTCTGTGAGTGATCATACACACTATGATAGTGTAAGGAATGTACTACTGCAAGATATACACTATTCACATTCTTAGTGAGAATGGCCTATTTCCTCTGTAAACTCGGGTGAAATGAAAAGCTGCTCAATCAGTGAGATCTGATCACTTCTCATCATTGGCCTGTGATTTCCTCACATAGAAAACTCTATCCAATAGGAAAGGAGATTGACTCAGTATATACTTTTTTGTCATAATTTCATGCTTATGTTTAGTCTTATTTTTAAATGCTGAAAACCACTTTTTAATGGGCAAGTTACGTTCTTGATGGCAAATAAGAATGCTGGTCAAAATTTCTAAACACTATAGCACTCTTTCCTGCTCAAACCTAGATGGCTGGTGTTAATTAGCTCGAGTCAATTTTTTCCCTAATTCTATAACCTAGATGGCCAGTATTAAATATTTGGATGTCAGTTGTTAGTTACTTGCTGTCCTGTGGTTGAGTATTGTCTTTATTTTGATTTGCAGCCATTTGATACATTCTAATGAACTTTCAGCCTTGGATAAAGGTGTATCTGTGCATTGCATTACCTACTTTTTGACACCATATCCATTCTGCCGCATTTTGACTTGTAGTGAATATGCGTTTCAGTTATGGGTACTACAGGAGAGAATATTTTGTGATCTATGTATAGACAGTAGTGAATAGTTCATTTGCAGTGTAGCCTTATGGCTAAATTTGCCCTGGAGAGTTCCAGTTGCTCTTGCAAAATTAATAATTATTATTGGTATGTAACTATTGTATTTATTATTGTTTATTAATATTACCCCCTTTGTCTCCCCAAGGATCCTAGTTTGGACTGTAAGTTATATAATCATCCTGATTTGAAACTGAAAGTTTGGTCTCAGAAGCCAATATGTGGATTAATTTCCTAGATTTAGTAAATCTTTACCGTTCTTAGCAATGTCTCCAGATCCCCCCTCTCACCCTCAATACCTGCTGCAATACAAATACAGCTCTGTGGAGGGGACTAAAAACCTAGAAAAGGGGTAGATGGGTTACCTAGCAAAGTGAGACCTGGGAAATCTTGAAGCTTTATTTGAGGAGCTGCAGATGGAAGAAGGTACAAGATGGTGAGAAGCAGGCAGACGCTGATTAACACTGGCACTTAGTATGTGCTGAATAAATGTTTGAGTTTCACAGCTGAAATAGAAGTTCACAGTGCGGGCGTCAATGAAGAGAAAGATGAGAGAGGTTGAGGCTGGAAATGCTTATCATACCTGGGTGTGATTTGATGACGTTTAACAGGTTGACTGTGATGAGAAACTCCATAGTCACCCTGTAATGTGGAACCAAGTGTACTGGTGGAGAAGCGTTAAGGTACAGAAAAGGCTGTAAATATAACATAATATCAGATTCTTCTTGAGATAAAGCTTTGCCATAAAATGAGGGAAGGGAGCCTGGGTCCTTTGGACCCTGAGGCAGAAGGAAGAGAAGGGAATTGATGGTTGCTTCAAGGACGAGAGTACCCCGGAGCTCTTTGTTCATGTCTGCCTGTGTTGGGTCCTCCTTGCTCCGCGGGCCCCTCTCTGGCTGCAGAGAGTGAGGACCGCTCCCCAGCTTCAGCGCCCGCGTTTCTCACTGCGGCGGCTTCTCTCGTTGCAGAGGATGGACTCTAGGGAGTGAGAGGGCAGGAGCTGTGGCGCGTGGGCTCAGTTGCTCCGAGGCACGTGGGATCATCCCAGACCAGGGAGCGAACCCGCGTCTCTGGCACCCGCATTGGCAAGTGGATTCTTTACCGCTAAGCCACCATGGAAGCCTACAGCCAAGATCTTGATTTGACTGAAGTGTGGTGACTTGGATTATTTTACTTCCTTATTTAACTCACAAGATTTTCTCTTTGTGCTGTTGTTTCAGGAGCTCGTGGGGAGTAACCCTCCACAGAGAAACTGGAAAGGAATAGCCATCGCGCTGCTTGTCATCCTGGTCATCTGCTCCTTGATCGTCACCTCGGTGATACTGCTGACCCCAGGTACTCACGTTTGTTCCTGGAAAAGCAAGTTGCTCTATGGGAGAGAGGGCGTGATTTTACTTGGTGATTTTTTTCTACGTAACTGCCTACTGTGTAATTTATTTTCCCTTGATTCTAATTCTCATTGCGCCATATGGTAAAATGATGTAATATGCATTCAATGAAAAAGATCCATTGTACATGCTATGAATTTGTTTAGATAATTCTTGACTAGGGTAAATTCTTGGCATGCATTAAAATTCACAAATATTTATTATTACTTGATCAGCTTAAAGACTCTGCCCTTATAATAATTTTATATGTCTAATGGTATTCTTGGGTATTCTATCAAGGATGAATTAAAATTATTAAAACAACATTATATTGAGTGTCAACTAAGGATAAACTACTTATTAGATACTACTGATGAAATAAAGGAAACGTGAAACAGAATCAAAACTCTCTCAGGGAAGAAAAACACACAACAATTATCAGCAAAAGTCTACAGGAAAAAAATATATGCATGGATTATTAAAAGTTTCAAACATAAGTTGTATAGAAGCTGAGAAGAAAGATAAAACCTTCATGAGAAAGTTCATGGAGAAAGTCATATGTGAAGGTGGGCTTCCATGGAGAGGTAAGAATTTAGTAGAAGGAGAGTGGTGAGATTATGGTAAGAAGAAAGCCTTTGCCCATAAGATAAATGTATGGGGTCATGATAGAAAAATATTATTGCCATGTATAAACTGTGTGTGACTATCCATTCTCCTTGTTGTATTAAGTGTCAACTTGCGTAGACAAAAAGATGTTCCAATCCTCTTTAAATAGGCTATACAGGTATTGTACTTTATGATGAAAAAAATGCATTTTTTGACAGGTACAAAAATCGCGGGCAAATTTTCAGGTATGTTTAACTCTAATTTATTGTTGCTGTTTTGTTTAGTCACTCAGTCATGTCCAACTTTTTGTAATCCCATGGACTGTATCACGCCAATCTCCTCTATCCATGAGATTTTCCAGGCAAGAATACTGGAGTGGGTTGCTGTTTCCTTGCTGGCCAAGTTTGAGCAATCTCTAGGAGATTGTCAAGGACAGGAAAGCCTGGCGTGCTGCAGTCCATGGGGTCACAAAGAGTCAGACACAGCTGAGCAACTGAACAACAACAACAAATACCCTGAAACCAAAACTCAATAAAGAGATCACAAGAAAACGACAGACCAAAATCTCTTACGAATATAGATGCAAAAATCATAACCAGATACTAAGAAATTGAACCAAATTACCAGCAGCTTACAGAAAAAAGATTATATACCATGACCAAATGGGATTTATCTCAGGAAAGAAAATTTGGTTTAGCATATGAAAAATCAGTGTAGTACACTCAGATTTATAGAATAAAGACAAAAAAACAACATGATTATCTCATAGGCACAGAATAAGCGTCTGACAAAATTTACAATCCCCTCTCTATAAAACACTGAACAAATGGGAATAGAAAGAAACTTTCCCAACCTGAAAAAGAGCATCTGTAAAAAACGCACAGCTAATATTATACTTAACACTGAAATGGTTAGCAGTGATCTTGCTAAATATCAGGTTATCCTTGACAAGGGGAAGAAAAGACATCCAGATTAGAAAGAAGTAAAACCATCTCTGTTCATAGATGGCATGAAATTGTTATAGAAAATCTTACAAAGTCCACAAACATACAAAAACAAAACTAAAAAATGAATTCAGCCACATTGGAAGATGCAAAATTATACAAAAACTATTTATATTTCTGTACACTAGTAATGAGCAATTCAAAATGAAATTTACAAATGATTCCACTTACATTAGTTTCAAAGGGAATAAGACACTTAGGAATCAATTTAACAATAAAAATGTAAGGCTTGTGCACGGAAAACCATGAAACGTAATTGAAAGGAATTAAAGATCTTAGTAAATGGAAAGATATCCCATCTTCATGGATTAGTGGATGTACTATCGTTAACATGACAGTACTTCCCAAAATTATCCATAGATTCCATGTACTCCATGTCAAAATCCCAACTTGTATTTTGCAAAAATTGACAGGCCAATTCTAAACTTCATAGGAAAATGCAAGGCTCTCAGACCAGCCAAAACAATCTTGAAAAAGAATAGTTAAAGGACTTACATCTATGATATTAAAATTTACTCTAAAATTAGAGTAGTAAAAGTATCGTGATACTATCTTTGTTACTGTTCAGTCACTCAGTCATGTGTGACTCTTTGTGACCCCATGGACTGAAGCACTCTAGGCTTCCTTGCCGTTCACCATCTCCCAGAGCTTGCTCAGACTCATGTCCATTGAGTCAGTGACGCCATCCAACCATCTCATCCTCTGTTGTCCCCTTCTCCTCCTGCCCTCAGTCTTTCCCAGCATCAGGGTCTTTTCCAGTGAGTCAGCTCTTCATATCAGGTGGCCAAAGTAATGGAGCGTCAGCTTCAGCATCAGTCCTTCAGTGAACACCCAGGACTTATTTCCTTTAGGATGGACTGGTTGGATCTCCTTGCAGTCCAAGGGACTCNTTTGTTGTGATCCACACAGTCAAAGGCTTTGCCATAGTAAATAAAGCTGAAGTAGATGTTTTTCTGGAACTCTCTTGCTTTTTCGATGATCCAGCGGATGTTGGCAATTTGATCTCTGGCTCCTCTACCTTTTCTAAATCCAGCCTGAACATTTGAAAATTCTCAGTTCACATACTGTTGAAGACAGCTTGGAGAATTTTGAGCGTTACTTTGATAGTGTGTGAGATTAGTGCAACTGTGGTCGTTTAAACATTCTTTGACATTGCCTTTCTTTGGGATTGGAATGAAAACTGACTTTTTCCAGTCCTGTGGCTGCTGCTGAGTTTTCCAAATGTACTGGCATATTGAGTGCAACACTTTCACAGCATCATCTTTTAGGATTTGAAATAGCTCTTGAATTCCATCACCTCCACTAGCTTTGTTTGTAGTGATGCTTCCTGAGACCCTCTTGACTTTGCAGTCCAAGATGTCTGGCTCTAGGTGAGTGATCACACCATCATGATTATCTGGGTCATGAAGATCTTTTTTGTATAGTTCTTCTGTGTATTCTTGCCACCTCTTCTTAATATCTTCTGCTTCTGTTAGGTCCAAACTGTTTCTGTCCTTTATTGAGCCCATCTTTGCATGAAATGTTTCCTTGGTAGCTCTAATTTTCTTGACGAGATCTCTAGTCTTTCCCATTCTATTGTTTTCCTCTATTCCTTTGCATTGTTCACTTAGGAATGCTTTCTTATTTCTCCTTGCTATTCTTAAGCATAGATATGTAGATCAATGGATTATAATTTAGACTTCAAATATAAAGCCATATAACTACAGTCAGTTTCAACAAGGGTGCTTAGACCATTTACAGTCTTTTTGACAAATGGTGCTGGTACAACTGGGTGTCCACATGCAAAGAATGAATTTGAACTCCGACATCCACTGTATACAGAAATTAACTCATTGTGGATGAACAACCTGAATATAAGAGCCAGAGCTATAAAACTCTCAGAAGAAAACAGGTGTAAATCTTTTAACTTTTGTGTTAGGAAACTGTTTGTCAGATATGACACCAAAAGCACAAGCAACCAAAGGAAAAAATAAATAACACTTCATTCAACATAAAAATATTTTGTGTATCAAAGGTCACTATGACGAAGATGAAAAGACAACCCCCAGGGTGGGAGAATATATTTGCAAATCGTGTATTCAATAAACGTTTAGTATTCAGATTATATGAAGAATTCTTATAGCTCAGATCACGCGACAAACAGTTTATTTTAAAATGGGTAAAGGATTTGAACAATATTTCTCCAAAGAAGTACAAATGGCCAATAAGCCTAAGAAAACATGCTCTATATCATTAATCATCAGGGAAATACAAATCAAAACATAGTAAGATGCCACTTCATACTCAGCAGGATGGAGATATATATATATATATATATAATTTTATATGTATTTTTGCACTGTTTTTAAAGGTTGCACTCCATTTACAGTTATTGCAAAATATTGGATATATTCCCCACATTATACAATCAACCCTTGTAACCTGCAGTACACTCAACTGTGTGTGCGGGGTGTGCGTCCCACCCCATCCTTATATTGCCTCTCCCCGCCCGCACCTCACTGGTGACCACGGGTTTGTTCTCTGTACCTGTGAGTCTGCTTCTTGTTTGTTATAGTCACTAGTTTGTTGTACTTTTAGATTCCACATATACGTGTTTGTCTTTCTCTGTCTGATTTATTCACTTAACATAATACCTTTCAATTCAAATCCAAGAAAATTTATATATTTTAATGGGAAATAACAAATATGGTGAGGATGTGGAAAAATTGGAAACTCATACAGTACTAGTAGGAATGTAAAATTGTGTAGCCTCTTTGGACAAGGTGAAGTGGTGAAAGTGACAGTTGCTCTGTCCGACTCTTTGGGACCCCACGGACTGTATTCCACCAGGCTCCTCTGTCCGCGGGATTTTCCAGGCGACAATACTGGAGTGGGTTGCCATTTCCTTCTCCAGGGACAGATGTCCATGGAGTCATTCCTAATAGTCAAAAGGGACCCAAATGTCCCTCACCAGGTGAATAGATAAAACAATGTGGTATATCCATACAATATTGTTATTGTTATTCAGCTATAAAATGTTATTCATCTATAAAAATTAAATACAAGCATAGCTAAAACTTGAGCAGAAGTGAAAGTAGTTGGACATAAAGGGCCACATATTGTGTGATTCCACAACAGGCACATCCATACAGATTAAAAAGCAGCTTAGTGTTTGCCAGGGACCGGAAATGGGGAGAGTAAGAAGGGTCTGCTGACTCTGCTAATAGGTATGAGATTGCTTCTTTCATAAAGACATTATATTTTTAGAGCAGTTTTAAATTCACAGCAAAATTGAAACTAGGGTACAGAGATTCCCCATATATGTCCCACCCCAACACATGCACGGTTCATTCATTGTCAACGTCCTCTCCCATAGTGG